GCCTTTTCCAGGAAACTGTAATCTGATAAAACTTTTCCATTGGTTATAATCCTCAGGAATCAAATGTCGTCGTTTGGCAGATGCTTGCACTTTCTCCCTTACTGATTTTTTTGGCTAAACATTCTTTATGTAATTTCTATTTAACACCATTCTGATCGTACGCGATAGCGTCAGGCGATACTTGGTCTGCGTTCACACATGTGCCCGCGGACGCACAAAGGAAACAGAACCGTGCCCTCTCGATTTAGCGATTTCGAAATCTAGACTGAAAATACCATCACAGCTACAGTAGGTTATGCTGCTTCGTGCTGATCGGAGACCATTGCCCTTGGTTTCATTGTCGCAGATGTAGTATTCGGGCAGACCTGGATTGCTTTCTTGATTGTTGCTCTTTTGGACAGTTAGGAAGTCGGATACCGCATAGGGAATACACTTGGCCTCCAGGTGCAAGACGGGCTCGTCAGTGGTCATTTCGGCACTTGGGGTCGGACTGGCGCTTCTTTCTTTCTTTAGTTGGGTCATACGAGCGTGCTGAATCTTTTGTGCCCGACGGATTTTTCGACGCGTATTCCTTTCTTTCTCTATACGAGAAATAATTTCCATACTTTCAATGAATAAATTCAGGTCGCGCTGTCCGAAGTTGAGTGCGTTTAGATTTATGATGCTGGTGGACACAGATGACTGGTCCTGCCCGCTTAGGCCTAAAAACTGGGTGAAGTTGTATGTTGGCATTTTTTTTAAATACTTTTTGTTTTAAAATACTTAATGACTTTCCTGTAGCTAGACTGGTGTGTTGAATAATGAAGCAAAATGTTCGCCATCGTGACTTATTTATACGCAACAGGTAAAAAATTAATCTCTTTGATTCCACGTTGCTTACCTGTGATCATACCCATAATTGGGCTGCCTGAAAAACCCCTTAATCCTTTATAATTTGAAGTGCCCCGTATCCAAGGTTGATGAATATAAGTAGGACCGAAACAAAATCCAGGAAAACTCACCAAACTACCTGGCAGATAGTCAGACAAATAACGATAACGAACATAAAGTTGTGAAAATTGTGCTTCAGCGATTCAAAATTTTAAAATTAAATCGTGTTTTAAAATATTTTAAAAGCTTATGTACATATTTATTGAAGCTGTAAATTTAGCTAAAGAAATTCGAAGATTTGGCTTGTACCGTACAAGAAAGAGAAATAAAGTTTAATAACAATGCGTTTTATAAAAGCGTAATATAAAACAAGAAGGAACGCTATAGTCGAGTGCAGTGACTATAACATACACGTTACTGTTTTACACAATTTTAAAATTATTCTACCTGTTTCATACTTTTCAATGAATCTAATATACCTTTTGACTCAACGAGTAACGTGTATAACTATAAAAGAGTGACTGAACATTTGACATGGGCATGCATCTTTATATGTCTAGGTGTCCAACGTACGAGTATACCAAAAAGTTATAAGTGTATATATATATATAAATGAATCTAACCATGTATGTCCGCTATAGACTCGTAAACGGCCGGACCGATTTTGATAAAATTTTTTATACGTGTTAAAGGGGGCTCCGGGCGTGTTTAGAAAACAATCAAGAAAAATTTGTGAAAATTTAAAATAAGGAAAATTGATTAAAAATTTGGAGAATTGAGTAAAGTAGGCAGCTCTGATCATTTATAGTTGGCAACTCTTGATCAGTATCAATAGCGAAGTCGATTAAGCTATGTTCGACCGAATATTGTTCGTCAGTTCATTTGTCCGTTTGTATACACGTTACTGGTAGAGTAAACGGGTATATTAGATTCGTTGAAAAGTATGTACAGGTAGAAAGAAGCGTTTCCACCCCGATAAAGTATATATATTCTTGATCAGTAATAATAGCGAAGTCGACTTATTCGCCTATCCGTATGATCGCTGACGTTTTAGAAACCATAAGAGATACAAAGTTGAGATTAAGCATGACGATTCTTGAGGTCCCTACGCAGCGCCAGTTCTTTTACAGCCTCCTGCCACGCCCAGTCTAACGCCCACAAATCACGGAAAGCTCAAGCTTTTGAACTATTACAGTTGGAAGGTTGAGATTAAGTATGTATAATCTTGATATGCCTTTGCATCTTATGGTGGTACCAATATTCGGCCACACCCATTGTTACGCCCTTCAAGCATTTCGTAGAAAAGGTGATATCTCTGTAACTTTATGTAATACAAAGTTAGGAATAAGCATGAAGCTTTTTATGATGCCCCAAATGCGAATTAATTATTTCTTATCTATCCTCGCCCACCCCAACGCCCACAAAAACCCGAAAACCAAAAATTCAAAACTATCGGGAACTATAAGAGCTAGAAAGTTGTGCTTAAGAATGCGAAATTAAGAGTTGCCACTGCAACTCGACACAAGTTTTCATTCGGCCACACCCACTCTAACGCCCACAAGCCGGAAGATATTTTAAATCCCACCAATATTTCGTTATTTCTGAAGAAATGTATGTTATATGGCTTTACGTGGGCAGTGACGTCACCATCAGTTACTCAATATGGTTTCTCTGACAATAGGTTGCGCTATGTAAATTTCTACTAGCAAAATGAATATTTTAAAATTGTGTGTATCTTATTATCGCGTTTCTTCTTGTTAATTTTCAAACGGCGACAAGCCGACATTCTTTGAATGAATGATAGGGATAGGGAATATAGATAAAGATAGGGAAGTCAAGATAAAGAGGTGTAACAAAACTATAAATGTACATTTTGAAATCGGAATTAATTGGCCCATGGTTACAGATATCCACACAAGCTAACCTTATCATTGCTAAGGCAGCATAGGCAGCGATTTGCTGTTGGGAATTCTCCAGCTCCTTGTATGTTGTATCGATCCTTTTGCCGCCTGTAAAGTGATTGTTGATGATGTTTTTGTAAAGTGACTTATGTTGCTAAAATGACTGAAAGTAGAGTATAGCTCGCTAGAAGTAATATTGGCATTTCGAGCAACAAATTTAGGGGATAGATAAAGCAAATTAGACCCTTAAATTTGTACGAAAATTTTCTATAAGACATTAAAGTTCCATTAACCATGTCAAACATTTTTTCAATGACCTTTTGTGGTTATACAACAGCTGTATACCGTCTGATGATTATTGCAGATGTACACAGCTGTCGGTACTATAGTGCACTGCCAACTTCCAGAATTTCATGTTTTTCCTTTGTAGTTATTACTCGAACTATGAAATGGGAATTTGTTGATAGTGGGTGATGGATAACAATCAGCAGATTCCCTACATATGTTTGAAGTCATTGAAGCCTTGTACTTTATAACGTCTGATGAGCTTCTGTGACGTGTTCGCCCTGATCTCTTCCTTGTTTATTTTGCAGAATGGCGACGTGCTGCTCCAAGATGTTGAGGCGTGTATTAGTGGCTGACTTACTCCTTTTGATTATATTAATGGCTGAGTCTAAAATGTATGTTTTGTTTTTAGAGCTGCATCAAAAAATAGTCGTTTGTTTTTATTCGCATATTCTCCATTTCCTCAGCATACTTCAAGTCGAGAACTCCGGATTAAAAAGTTGCAACGTACCTGGTATGCGGTACACATCGTTGGCACATTTGTGTTAGTTGACGAAATCCGATTTCCAAGATCCGTAAATCATTGTAGTATGGAGCTAATTCGTAATATATAGTTTATATCCATTCTGATACCACTATTCTCGAGGTGGCAAGATAGCAAATAGCGTAATGCTAGCGGTCTGCGCCAGTGCCAATGAAATTATAAGCAAAAGCACCAATAACAATGAGGGAAAGCTAACCATTAGTACTTTTTACGGCGCTTCAATGGCTCAATGGAACCCGTAAATTGCTTGAGTTTGGATCATTGGTGTTTTAATACAACGCCTTCGGGGAATAATTACTTTAGTCTAGATTCTAATTCCTTGCCTTTTACGAGTGTTTTTTCCTTATGCATGGTGCAGGTGTTAAAGTTTCGCCAAATAAAAGTGATCAGGAGTGAGTGCTGTTAGGACCGTGGGATCAATTGACTTTGGCGTATTTGGCCGAGAGCTTATAATTACCTCAATCTCGATCATTACCTCGTTAATTTCTTTGAACGTCAATGACACCGTCGCAGTGGTGTTGTCGAGCAAACGTATTGCTGACTTAACTACCTACTCACAAAGACACAAAATTCCACCTTTTTCGTGCTGCAATAACTTATTATTTGGTTCTTTGCCTTTTCTTTAAAGATTGATTCATCTAATTATTTTAGTTTGTGACTGGCACCTACAAAATTTGTCGTAATGGATGGTCTGACATCTAACTCAGCGGCCTAGAAATATTCACAAAGCGGCTAAAAAGGCATCAGTGGTAAAGTCACCCACCAGTTCAAAGTACACTGTTTTTGTGGAGAAAAAGCTATAAAACTAAAATGTAAGCTGTCGGGAACAGTCATCTAGCGCATACCAGAATCCTGGCTTACAAATTGTTTGCCATCACTGTATGATGAATTGTACTTTTTTCTATCAAACAATCAGAGGCTCACCCGATTACATTTCGTTTTCTATCGCTATAGGATTTTTGTTTGTATAATTATAAGTTGTAAATCATATCTTAAAACAAGAGGAATAATTAATGTCTCCCCAAAACATTGGTGACCCCGACGTCATAGTGTGTGTGAAAGTTAAGAAATTATTAAATATCATTTTAATAATTCCAAAATACTTTTTGCTACGTACCCCAGATAACGAAGACTTTTATCGGGCAAAGTCAGGCTCCGTGGCGCGTCAACTTATGGCGTTAAATACACTCCTAAGTGACAAAAATACGTTTAACAATTTCATGCCAAAAAACAATTCAATATACATAACATAGCATTTAACATTATGGACGCCGTGGTTTTTTACTTTTGGCGGGCTAAAGAGTGGGAGTGGCCTGATGGTAAAAGAAGAAGCATGCTCAATTCCAACTTTCTGCCACCTATAGTTCCCGAAACCTTGGCGTTCCTACAGATAGATGCTACAGTCTCAGCGTTCACACGGACAGAATGATTAGCTAAATCGACTGTCTATTGATCCTAAGCAATAATATACATATATAGTACTTGCATAGTGTACCTGTTACATATTTTTACTTTACGAGTAATGGGCAATTATTGTTATAATGGCGGATTCTACTAAAACATATTTGGAAACTGTTTTAAAATGATCCATTAGCTTTCGAAGGATTTTATGTTATATTGTGTTTTATTATGTTATAATTCTAATTTGTTTTGAGTTAACCTCGAATTATTCCATTTTCTCCCATTCCCAAAACGACTTGGCCATTTGTCGTAAGGGGCACCTGGAGAACATTCGACATTTTGGCGACATATGAATTTTAGCATCATATAACTGAAAAAGCCAGCCAAGTAGTACCTTACAATAATGTGAGAGCTATAGTATTCGACATAGTTATCAAAATTAGAGAATAGTTATAGTAATTTAATATAATTCCGTCCTATGTTGTAGAAAGAGCGATATATTAACGTTAAATATGAAAAAAATTGTATGTATTGTTGCCTTCGCAGGATAGAACCTTCTTGTATTTAATAGAAATTCTTTTAGTTTTATTTTGAAGTTTTATTTATTTAAATGTTTTACAAGAATAACACTATAAAATAAACCAAGTCAGCCAGCAGTGAGCCTTTTCCAGGAAATTGTAATCTGATAAATGGTTTCCATTGGTTAAAATCCTCAGAATTCGAATGTCGTCGTTTGGCAGACTCTTGCACTTTTTCCCTTACTGATTTTTTTGGTGAAAAATTCTTTATGTAATTTCTATTTAACACCATTCTGATGGTACGGGATAGAGTCTGGCGATATTTGGACTGCGTTCACACATGTGCCCGCGGACGCACAAAGGAAACAGAACCGTGCCCTCTCTATTTAGTGATTTCGAAATCTAGACTGAAAATGCCATCACAGCTACAGTAGGTTATGCTGCTTCGTGCTGATAGGAGACCATTGCCCTTGGTTTCATTGTCGCAGATGTAGTATTCGGGCAGACCTGGATTGCTTTCTTGATTGTTGCTCTTTTGGACAGTTAGGAAGTCGGATACCGCATAGGGAATACACTTGGCTTCCAGGTGCAAGACGGGCTCGTCAGTGGTCATTTCGGCACTTGGGGTCGGACTGGCGCTTCTTTCTTTCTTTAGTTGGGTCATACGAGCGTGCTGAATCTTTTGTGCCCGACGGATTTTTCGACGCGTATTCCTTTCTTTCTCTATACGAGAAATAATTTCCATACTTTCAATGAATAAATTCAGGTCGCGCTGTCCGAAATTGAGTGCGTTTAGATTTATGATGCTGGTGGACACAGATGACTGGTCCTGCCCGCTTAGGCCTAAAAACTGGGTGAAGTTGTATGTTGGCATTTTTTTTTAAATACTTTTTGTTTTAAAATACTTAATGACGTTCCTGTAGCTAGACTGGTGTGTTGAATAATGAAGCAAAATGTTCGCCATCGTGACTTATTTATACGCAACAGGTAAAAAATTAATCTCTTTGAATCCACGTTGCTTACCTGTGATCATACCCATAACTGAACATATAGTGCACTGCTCCTAAATATAATGCAATGGCTTCCTGAAAAACCCCTTAATCTTTTATAATTTGAAGTGCCCCGTATCCAAGGTTGATGAATATAAGTAGGACCGAAACAAAATCCAGGAAAACTCACCAAACTACCTGGCAGATAGTCAGACAAATAACGATAACGAACATAAAGTTGTGAAAATTGTGCTTCAGCGATTCAAAATTTTAAAATTAAATCGTGTTTTAAAATATTTTAAAAGCTTATGTACATATTTATTGAAGCTGTAAATTTAGCTAAAGAAATTCGAAGATTTGGCTTGTACCGTACAAGAAAGAGAAATAAAGTTTAATAACAATGCGTTTTATAAAAGCGTAATATAAAACAAGAAGGAACGCTATAGTCGAGTGCAGTGACTATAACATACACGTTACTGTTTTACACAATTTTAAAATTATTCTACCTGTTTCATACTTTTCAATGAATCTAATATACCTTTTGACTCAACGAGTAACGTGTATAACTATAAAAGAGTGACTGAACATTTGACATGGGCATGCATCTTTATATGTCTAGGTGTCCAACGTACGAGTATACCAAAAAGTTATAAGTGTATATATATATATAAATGAATCTAACCATGTATGTCCGCTATAGACTCGTAAACGGCCGGACCGATTTTGATAAAATTTTTTATACGTGTTAAAGGGGGCTCCGGGCGTGTTTAGAAAACAATCAAGAAAAATTTGTGAAAATTTAAAATAAGGAAAATTGATTAAAAATTTGGAGAATTGAGTAAAGTAGGCAGCTCTGATCATTTATAGTTGGCAACTCTTGATCAGTATCAATAGCGAAGTCGATTAAGCTATGTTCGACCGAATATTGTTCGTCAGTTCATTTGTCCGTTTGTATACACGTTACTGGTAGAGTAAACGGGTATATTAGATTCGTTGAAAAGTATGTACAGGTAGAAAGAAGCGTTTCCACCCCGATAAAGTATATATATTCTTGATCAGTAACAATAGCGAAGTCGACTTATTCGCCTATCCGTATGATCGCTGACGTTTTAGAAACCATAAGAGATACAAAGTTGAGATTAAGCATGACGATTCTTGAGGTCCCTACGCAGCGCCAGTTTTTTTACAGCCTCCTGCCACGCCCAATCTAACGTCCACAAATCACGGAAAGCTTAAGCTTTTGAACTATTGCAGTTGGAAGGTTGAGATTAAGTATGTATAATCTTGATATGCCTTTGCATCTTATGGTGGTACCAATATTCGGCCACACCCATTGTTACGCCCTTCAAGCATTTCGTAGAAAAGGTGATATCTCTGTAACTTTATGTAATACAAAGTTCGGAATAAGCATGAAGCTTTTTATGATGCCCCAAATGCGAATTAATTATTTCTTATCTATCCGCGCCCACCCCAACGCCTACAAAAACCCGAAAACCAAAAATTCTAAACTATCGGGAACTATAAGAGCTAGAAAGTTGTGCTTAAGAATGCGAAATTAAGAGTTTTCATTCGGCCACACCCACTCTAACGCCCACAAGCCGGAAGATATTTTAAATCCCACCAATATTTCGTTATTTCTGAAGAAATGTATGTTATATGGCTTTACGTGGGCAGTGACGTCACCATCAGTTACTCAATATGGTTTCTCTGACAATAGGTTGCGCTATGTAAATTTCTACTAGCAAAATGAATATTTTAAAATTGTGTGTATCTTATTATCGCGTTTCTTCTTGTTAATTTTCAAACGGCGACAAGCCGACATTCTTTGAATGAATGATAGGGATAGGGAATATAGATAAAGATAGGGAAGTCAAGATAAAGAGGTGTAACAAAACTATAAATGTACATTTTGAAATCGGAATTAATTGGCCCATGGTTACAGATATCCACACAAGCTAACCTTATCATTGCTAAGGCAGCATAGGCAGCGATTTGCTGTTGGGAATTCTCCAGCTCCTTGTATGTTGTATCGATCCTTTTGCCGCCTGTAAAGTGATTGTTGATGATGTTTTTGTAAAGTGACTTATGTTGCCAAAATGACTGAAAGTAGAGTATAGCTCGCTAGAAGTAATATTGGCATTTCGAGCAACAAATTTAGGGGATAGATAAAGCAAATTAGACCCTTAAATTTGTACGAAAATTTTCTATAAGACATTAAAGTTCCATTAACCATGTCAAACATTTTTTCAATGACCTTTTGTGGTTATACAACAGCTGTATACCGTCTGATGATTATTGCAGATGTACACAGCTGTCGGTACTATAGTGCACTGCCAACTTCCAGAATTTCATGTTTTTCCTTTGTAGTTATTACTCGAACTATGAAATGGGAATTTGTTGATAATGGGTGATGGATAAAAATCAGCAGATTCCCTACATATGTTTGAAGTCATTGAAGCCTTGTACTTTATAACGTCTGATGAGCTTCTGTGACGTGTTCGCCCTGATCTCTTCCTTGTTTATTTTGCAGAATGGCGACGTGCTGCTCCAAGATGTTGAGGCGTGTATTAGTGGCTGACTTACTCCTTTTGATTATATTAATGGCTGAGTCCAAAATGTATGTTTTGTTTTTAGAGCTGCATCAAAAAATAGTCGTTTGTTTTTATTCGCATATTCTCCATTTCCTCAGCATACTTCGAGTCGAGAACTCCGGATTAAAAAGTTGCAACGTACCTGGTATGCGGTACACATCGTTGGCACATTTGTGTTAGTTGACGAAATCCGATTTCCAAGATCCCTAAATCATTGTAGTATGGAGCTAATTCGTAATATATAGTTTATATACATTCTGATACCACTATTCTCGAGGTGGCAAGATAGCAAATAGCGTAATGCTAGCGGTCTGCGCCAGTGCCAATGAAATTATAAGCAAAAGCACCAATAACAATGAGGGAAAGCTAACCATTAGTACTTTTTACGGCGCTTCAATGGCTCAATGGAACCCGTAAATTGCTTGAGTTTGGATCATTGGTGTTTTAATACAACTTCTTCGGGGTAAATACTTTAGTCTAGATCCAAATTCCCTGCTTTTTACGAGTGTTTTTTCCTTATGCCCGGTGCAGGTGTTAAAGTTCCGCCTTTACAACCCCTTTCGCCGACACTCTTTTCTACAAAAGTTAGCGCATTCACTTGCTTATTAGAGCAAGTCAATTCTTCGAGCTTTTTAGACAAATTCGCTTAGGAAACCGTTTACCTACCCTGCAGAAAACCAGACCTGGCTGGATCGTCTCAGGTTGTGTAAAGGTAGGTAGCCTCTACGCGCTGCCATCTAAAAACGCGGATGTTGCAAAGGCGTTGGGCCTAGCTTGTGATACTCTATCGGATAGTTTACTTTTCAGCTTCTCAAGCCCGTGGACAGACCAGACCGCAACCATGCGCAGCATTCTTTCGGCAATAGGTGATTCTATGATCCACTTGGATTAATAGCCCCGATCATCACCAAGCTAAAGATTTTTATGCAGGTCCTATGGAAGGATAAGCTTGACTGGGATGAATCCCTACGGCAATCGTTGCACTCGTCTTGGTTGGAGCACATGTCACAGATCACAACAGTTACTTGTTTAAAATTTCCCCGCATTGTTTTACAGTATAACTCATCTTGCAAAATTCATGGACTTTCTAGTGCCTGCTGGAACTGGCTATACATCCACTTCCTCCTCCGCGTCGGCAGTGCTGGAGGTGGCAGGTGGAAGCCGAAGTACTGGTATACGCGGCGGCGCCAACATTTCCCCCTTCTCCTCATCGTCATCATCGGCGCCGTTATATTCATCTTCACCTTTGTCGAGAACCCGCTCTTCTGGCCAGCTTTCAAGTGGAAGAATCGTACATGGCCACATATACAGGAGGACAACTTACCCCCCTTGCGGTGGCGCCTCGGCAGGGTGGAGAGCACTGTCTCCGGAGATCACGGCGTCGATCGAGTTGCGGTGATCCGCACTAGCTCTGGATTGTGCAAGCTGGCAACAAGGAAATTAGCTGCCCTGCCCCTCGAAACTAGTTCGCTTGGAAGTATGGCTCTTCCAACGGGGGGAGTATGTCGGGAGCAGTCATCTAGCTAATACCAAAATCATGGCTTACAATTTGTTCAGCATCACTGTATGCTAAATTGTCCTTTTTATCTATAAGGAAAGCCGAGATAAGCGCTTGCTTTGAGGTTTTTAAATATTTTCCATTCAGATGCGTTAAGATCGAAATGGGGGTGATAAGCGGTGGTTGACTCGGTAACGGCAACTGCAAGCGACGCTCTGCACTTTGCATTACTGCATTGTACTAAAATATAAACCGACTGGTCCGATGCTAGCGAGGATTCACCGACCCGTGATATAGAAATGGTTGAGTTATGGGGCGATTTTAAATTGAAGTTCATTGGAGAAACGAGAGGTGACGGAGTTAACTTGAGAGGCCGAATCAAATACGCAAGATCGGTTTTTGACATACACTATGGCAGTAGTAAGCAACACGTATTCGGTATTATTTTGACCACTTTCTTATATTGCATATAGTGCATCAAAGAAAGACATTAAGCAATGCAAAAAAAAAGTAAAAAGTTAGTTAAAGAAGCCAAAGATCTGTGACTCTGTAAGAATAGAATATTAGGACTTGCCTGCAAATTTACTCTTTAACTCTCTAATGCATATAACCTTAACCTAAACTTTAAAAATTGTTTTTTTTGTAATGCCTAGGTCTTGTATTGTTACTTTGTAGAACCGAAGAACCTTTACCTATTAGTTAATTTTGCATCGAATACATTTACTCGTAAAACTATTATACTTACATTATTCTACTTATATTAACACATACATATCCCCTACGAGGAACATATAAAATGATAATATTGTTTTTGCAAAAAGCATAGAGCAGAGCCTTTTTACACCCGTTACTCGTAGAGTAAAAGGGTATACTAGATTCGTTGAAAAGTATGTAACAGGTAGAAGGAAGCGTTTCCGACCTTATAAAGTATATATATTCTTGATCAGGATGAATAGCGAAACGATTCAGCCATGTCCGTCTGTCCGTATGAACGCTGAGATCTCAAGAACTATAAGAGATGAAAAGTTGAGATTAACCGTGAATATTTTTGAGGTCCAAACCAGCCCACAAATCGCGAAAAACTAAAATTGGGAACTATTAGAGCTAGAAAGTTGAAATTCAGAATGTGTAATCTTTAGATGCCAGCGCATCTTATAGTAGTAATACTATTCGGCCAGACCCACCCATACGCCCACAAGGCTCAAAAGACGGATTTCGCATTTTCTAGAAAAGCTGATATCTCTGTAATTATAAAGCGTTAAAAATACGTATTTAATAGATGCCACTGCAACTTGTCACAAGTTTTTATGCAGCGACGCCCACTCTAAAGCCCACAACCCGTGAAAAACTGTGGCGTCTAAAATATTATTATGAAAGCCTTCGTTTGACCTTGTATAACTTATTTCTGTTCATATCTATCGATTTACCAAAGATTTTTCAAATTGGAACATTATTTCGCAACTTATCAATAAATTAGGGTTATATGGCCTCACATGGGCAGTGACGTCATCATCAGTTACTCAACATGCTTTCTCTGACAACAGGTGGCCTTGTGAATTTCCACTAGCAAAATGAATATTTTAAAATTGTGCGTTTCCTCTTGTTTAATTATGCGAATTACACGAAATAGTTTTAAAATTGTTTATTTACAGTCTGGCAAATTCGTTGCTGACCCAACGGACAACTTCGTCCTCTACATTTCCAACCAATGAAACAGGGCCCTTACAGTCTGTAACGCCAGAGGTTCAAAGCTCTATTAAGGAAGTGTCATCCGCCATCGTTCACTACGTGAACGACCAGGAACAGACTCAAAACCGCAGTGGATCGTCCAGTCCAAATTCAAGGTAAGGCAAATGTCTACTTTCCAGTTTAAAAAAATTCATGATCGATGCATCCATTAACTATTTCTGTCACATCCCTGAACTACCTTTCCGTCCTATCAATATTACTATTATCTATTACTAACGGTAAACAATTCGTAGGTATGTTCAACATGGGACATTAAAAGTAGAATTCACATATAAAACAGGAACAAATACTTTACTATAAACTCTTTACAACATCTCTAAATTCTGCTAAAGCAGCCACCTTTGTAGTCTAAAACAAGAAGAAACGCTGTATTCGAGTACCGCGACTATAAGATACCCGTTACTGTTTTACACAATTACTGTTTACTTCATTTTGCTAGTGAAAATTCCGAAAGCGCCACCTATTGTCGGAGAAAGCATGTTGAGTAACTGATAGTGACGTCACTACCCATATAAGGCCTTATAACCTAAGTTTCTTCATAAATAGCGAAACAATGTTCTTATTTAAAAGTTTTTTGGAAAATCGATAGAGATTGACAGAAATAAGTTATATAAGGTCAAACGATGGCATTCGTAATAATACTATAGACGCCACAGTTCTCCGCGGTTTGTTGACGATAGAGTTTGTGGGCAATAGAGTGGGCGTGGCCGAATGAAAACTAGGGGCAAGTTGCAGTGGCATCTTTTAAATACGTATTCTTAAGGAGAACTTTCTAGCTCTTATAGTTCCCAAGATTTCCGCATTTTTGGTTTTTCGAGTTTTGTGGGCGCTAGAGTGGGCATGGCTTGATCGGAAGAAAACAATTCGCATTGGGAGCAAAAAAAAACCTACCCGGCTCCGCACGTCCGTGAGCTTGGCGAATAAAGTTAACGTCTTGGTTTCCGCTTCCTTGCTGGGAACCTTCACATTGTTGTAGAATGGCTGAGACTGGAAAGACAGGAAGTCGAATTGAGAACATATACCTTATTAACTTCTACTGAAAAGTCAGGGCTAAAATTACTTCCGATTGCGAAGCTGACTATATACTTGCACCACACCAAGACCCATTCCAAAAATAGATGCTTGGGTGATAGACCGTTTCAGATTCAGGGACTGCACTTCGTGTTCTGAAACAATAGTTGTTGCTGAGTCGCCCAGGGCGATTATGACTGTGTGCAGACCGTTCTCAGGATCGCACGGTTTCTTCGAAAAATTCGACGACGTTCCTGAATAGCATCTGTACGATGCGTCTACGTTGGCTGCATGCGCTGCTGAGATACGTTTTCCATGGCTGCAGGTGCATTAAGATCCGGCGTCACAGGTCGGACCGCATGCGGCGGTATGTGACTCGGCGATTGGTTATGAGCAAGAACTAGTGCAGCGCGAAAGAGGTTGTGCAACGACGCAAAATATCCTCAGCGGAAGCGTAATAGGAATCCATGTACCGCTCCTTAAACTCGGACTGGAAATCCTTTCAGATTCACAGCCACCGAATCCGTCTCCCCGAACGCGATCCGCTGCTCCTCCACTTATCCAGCCGCTTCTTCAAATAAATCGTAGTTTTTCTGGATTGCGAATTTTTCCTAAAAAATACTGTAAAATAGATTTTAGGGACTGTAATCTATTTTCCTGAAAATTGTTTAAAAGTCGGAGAATCCGATTCAGCTTTTATTTTGACAAGTATAAAAAAGCCCAAATAATAATGCAATAAGAAAACTTAGTAAATTGTCGTTATGTATTTTCGCGACTCCCGTCGCTTGACGTGCAACCCACCTCCCGCTCAACCGACCGAGGGGCGCTGCCGTCTGATGTACGGCTCGGGACACGGGGATAGATCCGAGTGGATTAGTAAAGACACGAGGAAAGTTAGTTGTGTGCTAAATGGATTAGTATCGAAACATTCAAAGTGTTAGGAGAAGAGTTAGAAGTAATGTTATTAAGATCATTGTAGTTTGAACATAGTACCCGAAATGGTTCATGTCGGGCAAAGTGCGAACTGCAATGCTCTAAGGATAGAGGAATATAGTTTCTAGTAATCCTAAGGGGTACATGGATATTCAAGCGGCCTAGAAGGGCCTGGCTATCAATTTCATCCCTTAAGAAGATTATGGATAAAGACGACACCAAGCATCGTCCTTCGATTAGCGAGGGATGACAAATTAATTAGTAAGAGACTACTTTTATAAGAGGAAAGGTGTATGCTTGCGTCCCAGTCATTAAATTCCTTCGACCACCTTTTAATGAAACCAAGCACTCCTCTAGCATTATTAACCATAGAGGAAATAAGGTCGGAAAACTTAAGTTTTGCATCGAGTAAGATGCCAAGATCTTCAACTGCATTAATTCTTTCCAGAGCTTCACCATGCAGAGTATAAGTAGCAACTTTAGGTCTTAGGCGACAGAAGGTCATTGCTTTGCACTTAGAGCCATTAAGATTTAATAAGTTTTCAGGTAGGAGGCATCGTTATATTGCATACAGAGATTAACATCGTCTGCATACATAAGTACTAGGGAGTCATTAACAACCAATGGAAGGTCATTAATGAATGAAGTAAAAAGTAACGGGCCAAGATGGGTCCCCTGAAGGAACCCGGAAGAAGCGTAGACTAAAGCAGACACTGAATTTTTAAAAAGAACTTGTTGCGTTCTACCTTTAAGGTAACTGCTAATCCAACCCAGGAGATCAGTAGGAAAACCGATAAGATCGAGTTTTTCTAAAAGAAGGCCGTGATTCACGGAGTCAAATGCCTTACTGAAGTCAGTGTAAATTACATCCGTCTGAAGTTTATTTTGGAAACCAGTAATCACGAAGGATGTTAGTTCCAGAAGATTGGTAGTGGTAGACCGTTGCTTCATAAAGCCATGCTGACATGGAGATATGACAGATCTACACTGGTGCTGCAAGTGAGGCACAAGAATTTTTTCGAAAAGTTTCGGAATTGCTGATAGTTTGGATATACCTCTGTAATTCTTAGCATCCGATTTTTTCCCCTTCTTGTGAAGGGGAATAATAAGGGACTCTTTCCAGATAGCGGGAAACGTGGACGTTTCCAGGGAAAGGTTAAGTAATTTTAAATGGGGTTTGGCCAGGGTAGCACAGCAGTACCTAAGCACACAGCCCTGTACCCCGTCTGGACCTGGCGAAAAGACTGGCTTCACATTCTGAAGATCCTTTATAACCCCACATTCCGACAGTCGGGAAATAATGTTAGACCGGGGGATATCATAAGCGTAAGTCTGCGCGGTTATTAACAAAGGTGAATAGGTGGTTTAAAAAAACTGCAAAAAGATCCGTAATTTCCTGATCCGTGCTTGCAGTAGATTTTCCAAACGATAGCAAAGACGGAAAGGTTTTAGATTTACGCTTAGTGTTAACAAAACTATAGAACTGTTTCGGATCCAGAGCAAACTGGTTCTAATAGTTCTTATAACACTGAGTGTTATGCACGGTAAAGTTAGACCGACCCACCATATAATGCACTTAAGTATTTTTTAAGTATTTTTTAAAGAATTTTAATTTAAAATTTTTTAGATTATAAAGGTGCCTTGTATACAATGGGGGTTTATCCGCCATTGCCGGATAACGCAACGGAACAAAGCGATCAAAAATTAGGTTTAATGTACTATAAAATATATCTAGAGCAGTCGACATATCGGTACATGCGTAAAAATCGGACCTGTCAAATTCTGAAATAAAGTTATTAATTTTTTTTAAGTCGGCTTTACGAAAACATCGAGTTTTCTTATCAGCGTAATTGTTCTTAGGCTTAGTACATAGCCCCATATCGAACGGAAGATCTAATTGTGGATGATAAGAATCTTCAGGGTGTGTCAGAGGTGGAGCTCTGTATATGGACACGGCGTCCGTATCAGAGAGAAAGCACAGATCGTGCAAACGACCTAAAGAATTCCCTATATGATTCATATGAGCCAGTGACATGTCTAACATTCCAGCAGTAAAGTCGTGATACGACGTACGACGTAGGTGTTAAAGTTAAGGTGTTATCGTTTATGGACCAAGCCACCTGGGTTAAGTTGAAATCACCGAACACCACCAGCTGATCCATGTCCGATAATATTGAGAAGACAGACTGAATGGCTGCTAGATCACCTCGGAAACCAGATTAGAGTCCACTAAAATTAGGACTCCACCACCATTTCCGAGGGATCGGTCAAGCCTATATATTGTGAACCTACTGGGGAAAACTTCAGAATTAAGAATTTCTGAAGTTATTCAGGTTTCGGTAAACACATTCCCCTGGGATGCAAACGATAAGCTTACCGAGAATAAATTAGCATAAACGATCTAATTTTCTTCTGGGCATCACGACATCTGTCACAACAGTAGTCTAAGCCAGAGTCGGAACGACCCAAAGCATCCCGAATGGTGGCTGACTTAAACCCTGCACACTTGGAGTGCGCAATGTTATCACACAGCCAACAGTGGACTCTTACTTGGTCAACCGACACAATTTTATTGCATTTTTTAATGCAACAGATAATATCGGACATTTTGGCAAATAATTAATAATATGTAATCCACTGTGCCAGAAAAATATTATAGGGAAGAAGAAAGGGAGTTTGAGAGAAACAGTTAGGGGCAAGAGAGTGAGCGAGAGAGTGTTAGCGAGAGCTACGAGGCGTTATAAGAGAGTACAAATTGTATAAGAGAGGGAGAGGAAGTGTGTTTTCGGGAGCTACAAGCCGGTGGGAGATACAGAAAAGAGATCTACAGATGATGCACTGGAGAGGTAAGCCGTGAAAGTTCCGTTACTAATAGCATAAAGTAAAATAAAAATATATTAGAATACAGACCACAATTCTTGATATTTGCTTGCAATAAATGCTTATGCGACGCGGAATCGAAGACAGATTTTTGAAGTAGATAAACGTTTGAAAAAGTAACAAAAACTAAGTGATTCGAGAATAAATTCAAATATTAAAATCGCTCGAGAACACGCATAAGCCAAAAACACAACCGTTCGCTTTGAAAGAGAAGTGAAGTGTAGAGAGCGTCTCGGAGGTTCCAAAAACTGTCGTAGTTACTCCTATGTATCGCCGTCCTCTCTTTTCCGTGATTTGCAGAGCCATCTTGAAAACTTAACAAAGCTGCGATCTAACGACATCCATTAACACACAGAATTAGGAATTTTCATGTATGCTTGCAATTGCACGTTCCCCACATGGGCGACCTTGTAAAGTTCTGTCCCCTTGTACTCGAACTAACAAAGCGTCATTGTAAGATGACAAGCAGTACTGGGACAAGCAGTAAACTTAATAAATAATAACAAAATTCGATATTAATGCAATAGTTCTTGGTTAGGACTAAGATTTACAATTTGCTTTTCCAAATTTTTCAAAACAAGTCAAGCTTTTTTGGAATTTTTTTAAAATAGGTCGTAAAACTAAAATGGCTGATATCTCAGAAACTATTAGAGCTAGAATGTATAATCTTTAGATGCTAGCGCATCAACTTATAGTGTTACTATAGCTCAAAAGACGGTTTTCGCATTTTCTAGAAAAACTGATATCTCGGTAACTATAAGAGGTAGTTCGGATAAAGCATGTATTCCAAATACGAATTGTTTTTTTCGATCAAGCCACGCGCACAAACCCCGAAAAAACAAAAATACTTTTTGTATTCGGAAACTATAAGAGCTACAAAGTTGAGCTTAAGAATACGTATGAAGAAGATGCCTCTGCAACTTGCCACGAGGTTTCATCGGGCCACGCCCACTCGAACGCTCACAAACCACGGAAAACTGTGGCGTTTATAATATTATTATGAATGCCTTCGTCTGACCTTGTATAACTTATTTTTGTTAGTATCTATCGATTTACCAAAGATTTTTGAAATCAGAATATTATTTCGCGATCAATTACTCAACATGCTGCGTCTGACAATAGGTGAATTTCCACTAGCAAAATTAATATTTTAAAAAAGTGTAAAACGTGTAACGACTATAGCGTTTCCTCTTGTTTTTAATTTGGTAAGCAATCTAACGGGTATCGTACAGTCGAAGCACACAACTACAGTATTTCTTGTTTTAATAATTTAATTTATTAGCATGTATTAATTTTTAATAATGTATTATCAGTTTTATGAACGACAATAAAAGCAAAATATATATGGCTTTTATATTTTTAAATGAGATGGATCATATTTCATGGTGTCGAAACAGTAAGATTACCCCTTTTGATTCTATATTATCTTTTTAATTCAGGAAATGCTGGGTGGAAAGCAGCTTTGTGGGGTCACGACCTCTGGACTCGCCGCAGACACCTGTGATCGATAAAAACTCTCCTGAATTATTACGTCAACAGGATGAGCACCACCAGAAAATCCAACCGTTACACCACAGCCAACTGCAGAAAGATGCTAGTCTATTGCCGGTAGTCGCCGCTGTACAACCGCCACTGAACGGAGTCGGCCGTGTCGGCGGAGGTGGCGGTGAGTCCACCACATATATCTGACAAATTGCAGTACTAAATTTACTATTAGTCACCGATTTGTGCTTATTTCTTTCAACCAAAACTTTTTTTATTTGTGTACACTTAAAAATTATTATAATTTCCCAATACAAAGTATCTCGTTATATTCCCTGTTTATAGTAACCATTATAATTATTTTATTATATTTTTATTTTAATGAAATTCTTACTTTGTTATATCCACTCACGCAATTCTTTTTAAAATTTAATTTACTTATAAAAACTAAACGGTTATGACGTCATTCTCATTACAATACTCTTTACAATAGAAAAAAATTAAATTAATTATAATTGCATGCTAAGGCATACATATTTTTTGAATTATCTGTTGAAGGATAGATTTTTAAAAAAAGAAATAAACAATTATACAAACTAATAAATTATGGCGATGTCTAAGTATAAAAAAAGATATGCTAAAATACTTTGTCAATATATTAACATGGCTATTGGCGTCCACTCACACACTTAACGAACATAAAGAAAAACAACTCAAACCAAAATCAGATACACATTTTTTTTGGATTATTTCACATGTGCTTAATTTATATTATAACAAGTTGGTTGAAAAATTATTAATGTGGATATAATAAAACAAAAATTCATCTGGAAAGCGGTTTATTCTATTAATTTGAATACATTATAAATTGGCGTATATATTTTTATTACACCTCTCTTCAAAGCCCACATACCTACTTTCATTTTGAATAGATCATTTTTGCACTAGTGGTTGTGATTATATTATTTAGTTTGTTTCTAATTAGTTTTCACATCAAAACTACAATACACTTTGGAGCCTTTCGAAAAAAAATTAATAAGCGATCAATATGTAATTTACTGTCAGAATGGTCATTGAGCAACGCCTCGCTAGAAGATGTCCTAGATTCATTATTAGGACTGCCAAATTCCTCCTTATCCAGCCAGAACAGCAATTACAACCAAAATAACATACGCTATGCCGCTTCAACTACAACAGGTATGAACCTGTAAGTCTTAATAATTGTGAATATAGCCAAGTAGCAAATTTGTAAATACGTAGCAGCAAATACTCTATAAAGTTTTTAAATACTTTTGATTAATCAAGAGTATTTCCTTTTGATAAATTAATTTTAAAAACACAGAAAATCAGACAAAGTACAATCTGACAAGTGGCACGTTAATCATTATTTACAAAATATTTATTGTATTATTCTTCTTGTATTATTGAATATGAAATTCATAAACTGGGGGTTTTTTAATTAATCTTGACAACTTCCCAATATTAATTTGAATTAAAAACTATTAAAAGGTTAAAAAGCACAAAGTAGGGCTGTATTTATACCCGTTACTCGTAGAGTAAAAGGGTGTATTATATTTGTTAAACAGGTAGAAGGAAGCGTTTCCGACCCTATAAAGTATATATATTCTTGATCAGTATCAATAGTGGAGTCGATTAAGCCATGTCTTGAGGTTGATACCCAGCGCAAATTTAATTCAGTATCCTGCCACGCCCACTCTAACGCCTACAAATCACGAAAAAAGCTGCTGAAATCTCAAGAACTATTAAAGCTAAAAAGGTGAAATTCAGTATGTATAATCTTGGGGTACCAGCGCATCTTATGGAGGTACCATTATCCGGCCACACCTACTCATACGCTCACAAAGCTCGAAAGACTGTTTTCGCATTTTGCAGAAAAGCTGATACCTCAGTAACAATAAGTGATAGAAAGTTCGGATTACGCATGTATCCTTTTGTAGATTTTATTGATTTACCAAAGATTTTTCAAATCGGAAAACTATTTTGCTATTTATGAAAAAGTGTAGGTTCTGAGCCTCACATGGGCAGTAACGTCACTATCAGTTACTCAACGTGCGTATTTCAACTAGCAAAATGAATATTTTAAAATTCATAACATAACTTAAAATAACTTTCGGCCATTCGCCATCGCCACGCCGCAGCCCAATGTGCAGAAATTTTTTTTCGGCTGGTTACAATGGCATGGCACTAACCAAGACCAAAAAGATCACAAGAAAGATAAGAAACTAAGGGAAATGAAAAAAAATGAAAAATTGTAGAGGTGAGCAGAATGGAAATCAATAATATAAAATGTAAAACAATTACATACAATTCCTATTGTTCAGGGCAAAAAAAAGAATAACACCACTAAACTCAATAAAATGCAAGTACCCCAAAAAAGAGTTTAGGACGTAAGAGTAGACGTCTTCATAGCTCTGACTGTCCCCCTAGTTTTACCTTCATGCCCATTACGAAGGTGTTTAAAAAAGTTCCCCGGAAAATATTTTTTTGTGCTCTTGCTTGGTTAGGGGCCGGATTTCTTAGAGTCAATTTAAAAAGGGCAGCTTTCATGTCAATGATTTAATCAAACAATTTCTGAACTGACAGTTGTTTGTTGGTCAAGTCATGAAGTTCAATTGAATGGTTAGATTTGACTCTTTTGTCGGAATAATGTAATACCAGTACCTCCTTGATTTTATTCCAATCAAGGCCAGATTCTGAAGCTAATAGTGCCTCCTTATCTTTTCCTACTATCTTATTTTTAATAGATCGTAGTAAAAATTGCTCGTAAGGTATCTGATCTGTTCCCCTTATTAGCATTACATTTTGGGGTATTTTGCGTCCGGGATACGTAAGGACGTATATAAGTTGGCGTACACGCTGGGGTTACTTATTGAAGAATATGAGGAACTCATAATATCAGATGAGGGTCGTGAAATAATTTGGTCTGAAACAGCGAGTTCTTCTATAATGACTGCAAACAAATACTCTGTTTTGCCCTGATCCTGCTACTTAGCGGTAAACTTTTCACTTTACTTAGTTTCGTCATTCACCTTTTACCAACTTTTTTATTAATATTCGATCCTGATCAAGAATATATAAACTTTATAGGGCCGGAAACGCTTCCTTCTATCTGTTACATACATTTCAACGAACCTAGTATACCCTTTACTCTACGAGTAACGGGTATAATAAGAAATGCTAAAGTCAAGTGCCGCTACCGTGTACCAATCATGGATCCGTACGCCTTCGCTCATTTGGACGACATCATCACCATTGGAGCGTCCTAGAGAATACGTGCACGGAACCGACAAGAAGACTTTCGCCGACTGCGGGACCTAAACATGTGACATAATTTAGAAAATCTTATGTTCAGATTTTAAAGTTGAAAGAGTGGATTGGTTGGAACGGTAAACATCTAATTCTGGCGTGGCTGTTAATGGTACCCACGGACAACAATGGTATCAAGGAAGGCTTCAAAACAAATATAAGACTTAGTTGCCTATTAAGAAATACGGAAAGAACTTATATATTGTAACTAAAAATGGAAAAAAATATTAAAATAATCATTATTATACCCGTTACTCGTAGAGTAAAAGGGTATACTAGATTCGTTGAAAAGTATGTAACAGATAGAAGGAAGCGTTTGCGACCCTATAAACTATATATATTCTTGATCAGGATCAATAGCGAAGTCGATTGAGCCATGTCCGTCTGTCCGTCCGTCCGTATGAACGCTGAGATCTCAGGAACTATAACAGATACAAAGTTGAGATTAACCATGAAGATTCTTAAGGTCCCGGGACAGTGCAAGTTTATGACCGCATCCTGCCACGCCCACTCACACGCCCACAAATCGCAAAAAACTAAAATTGCTGAAACCTCAGGAACTATTGGAATTAGAAAGTTGAAATTAAGAAAGTATAATCTGTAGATGCCAGCGCATCTTAAAGTGGTACTACTATCCGGCCACACCCACCCATACGGCCACAAAGCTCATAAGACGGTTTTCGGAAAGCTGATATCTCGGTAACTGTAAGAGATAGAAAGTTCGGATTAAGCATGTAGGTTTTTATGATGCTCCCAATGCGAATTGTTTTTTTCCGATCAAGCCACGCATACTCAAACGCAAAACCCGAAAAACCAAAAATGCAAGAATCTCAAAAACTATAAGAGTTACGAAACTTTGCTTAGGGACACTTATTTAAGAGATGCCTCTGCAACTTTCCACGAAGTTGCATCCGGCCACGCCCACTCTAACGCCCACAAACCGCGGAAAACTGGCGTCTATAATATTATTATGAATGCCTTTGTTTGACCTTGTATAACTTATTTTTGTTAATATCTATCGATTTACAAAAGATTTTTGAAATCGGAACATTATTTCGCTATTTATAAAGAAATTTAGGTTATAAGGCCTCACATGGGCAGTGACGTCACTATCAATTACTCAACATACTTCCTCTGAAAATAGGCGGCGCCTCGTGAATTTCTACTAGCAAAATAATATTTTAAAATTTTGTAAAACAGTAACGGGTATCTTATAGTCGCGGCACTCGACTATAGCGTTTCCTCTTGTCATTGGGTTGTTGTTGCGGGGTGATCGTGTGTGTAATGTGTCCTATACAGAGCCGGATGATGTTGATGCACTGTTGTCTGCCGATCCCAGATGGGAGCGGTATTGTTGTGCATGTGACATTTAACTTGCGGTATCTATTGCTGAATGAGTTCCATTCCTGGTGACGCTTTACTAAATTCAGTCGGAGTAAAGAGGAAGGTTGCTGAGAGACCCATGTTGTCAGCTTTCAGGTCCGTGTCTTCGTTTGCACTTACATATGTCCTGGTGGATAGGGACCCAGAGGTGCATAGAAGAGTATTCGAAGAGTAGAAGAATATTTGTAATTTCTTCTTTCTTTGAATATGCTCTTGAAGTCGTCGGCTACTTATCGATTTGAAGTTGTGTACAATTTGGGAATTTGGGAATCAGCTGGCATGTGGTTTCTTTTATCCTGGATGGAATGCTGGGTAGTCCAGACTCCGGTAGTATGCATTTGGTTCGATGTTATGAATTGAATTGAATTTTCTTGATTTTAATGGCACACCACCCAAAAATGGGTAGACCATAATCTATTTTGGAGAGCATTAGGGATCTTTTTATGTTGAATAAAGTCTTATTATGGACATGTGAGTATTTTTATCTGAGATAATTTAACCCATTACTCTTAGAGTAAAAGGCTATATTAGATTCGTTGAAAAGCATGTAAAAAGTAGAAGAAAGCATATACGAGGTGTGTTCAAAAAGTAAGGTGACTTTTCAAATTTCGCGGGCAACATATTTTCGATTATCGTTTTTTTTGTTTTGTTACACTCTTCCCTAACATCTGTACCAAGTTTCAATGGAACATCCTCTTTTGTTTGGTTGTGAGAGGCGTAAAGTTACAAGTTGTTTTGCGAGCTCGGCGATTTTTTGCTATCGAAAAATATGGATCAAAGGATTTGCATCAAATTTTGTGTAAAAAATAAAATTAAGTGCTCTGAAACACTTGAAATGTTGACAGTGGCATACGGTGAAACTGTTCTGAGTAAAAAAATGTGTACAAGTGGTACAAACTCTTCCAAGATGGCCGGAAGATGCCAATGACCAGCCTCGCTCTGGACGCCCAAGCACGTCAACAACTGATGAAAACGTTCAAGCAGTGACGAAAATTGTTTTGGAAAATCGTCGAATCACTATCAGAGAAGTTGCTGAAGATGTCGGTATATCGCTTGGCTCGTGCCATGAAATTTTTTCAAACGTTTTGGGTATGAGTCGTGTGTCAGCGAAGTTTGTTCCGAAATTGCTGAATTTTGAGCAAAAGAACCGTCGCATGAGCATCGCTCAAGAGCTGTTGAATGACGTCAACGACGACCCAGATTTACTCAAAAGGGTCATAACTGGTGACGAATCATGGGTATATGGTTATGATATCGAAACCAAAGCCCAATCGTCCCAATGGAAGAGCCCAGACGAGCCAAGACCGAAAAAAGCAAAAAATCGCCGAGCTCGCAAAATAACTTGTAACTTTACGCCTCTCACAACCAAACAAAAGAGGATGTTCCATTGAAACTTGGTACAGATGTTAGGGAAGAGTGTACCAATATAACAAAACAAAAAAAACGATAATCGAAAATATGTTGCCCGCGAAATTTGAAAAGTCACC